GTATGTAAACGCACCTGTGTCATGTAATGCCTGCAGAGGTCAGAAAAGAGCATCAAATTCCCTTGGAACTAGAGTTACAGATGGTTGTTAGCCACCCTGTGGGTGCTGGGAATCGAACCTGGGTCCTCTGCAAGAACAGCCAGTGCTCTTAACCACTGAGCAATCTCCCTAGTCCTGAATTTCTTTTTGAGGTAATAACTTCCAAAACTTTCTCACACAAGCCCCTGAGGAGATGATCCTCCCAGGCCTCCATCCTGAGAAGGCCTTTGCCTTGTCAGACTTCCCTCAGAGCTGGTGGCTTCTCCCATCTCTCCAGAAGTATCCTCCGGGGACACAAGGACACAGGTATTTCTGACAAGCTTTTCACAGCTTTTTCCTCCCTGGGGTTTTACTGTCTCCTAGCAGAAGAGAACCAGGCACTCACTGAGGCTGTCTTAACCACTTTTCTGGGATCCATTGGCTCACCTGGTAAACAGCGGGTACAGGTTTTTCTCACTGGGCCTCTGGCATTTGCCCTTCCATGGCTCTATTCTAACCATTTCTTTCTTCTCACAGTGAACCTTCACTGTATACACCAAAGGTCTGCACTCTCTCTGCTTGCAAACATGTGTCTGGGCTTCTCCATTTTTTGATGTGTGTGTGTGTGTGTGTGTGTGTGTGTGTATACCTTCTGTATTCTTCAAACAAGTGAAAGGTCATACCACTCATCCCTCAAACTGACTGTATCAGAATCTTCTCCTCTTCTCCAACAAATTACCCATCAAGAGCTAAGTTATGAGGCTAGAGAGATGGCTCAGCAGTTAAGAGCACTGGCTGCTCTTACAGAGGACCCAGGTTTGGTTCCCAGCACCCACATAGCAGGTCATGACCATCTGTAACTCTGGTTCCAGAGAATCCAATGTCCTCTTCTGGCCTCCATGGGCACTGCACACACATGGTATACTTACACACATGTAGACAAAACAAATATTTTATTATTTTTATTTTATGTGTATGTGTGTATTGCCTGCATGTAGGTAAGTGCACCTGTGTTGTTCAATGCCCATGGAGGACAGAAGAGGCTGTCAGATCCCCTGGAACTGGAGTTATGAACAGTTGTTAGCTGCCATGTGGGTGCTGGGATTTGAACCTGGGTCTTCCCTACTGGGCCTGTGGCATCTGCCCTTCCATGGCTCTATTCTAACCATTTCTTTCTTCTCACAGTGAACCTTCACTGTATACATCAAAGGTCTGCGTTCCTCTGCTTGCAAACGTGTCTGGGCTTCTCCATTTTTTGATGTGTGTGTGTGTGTGTGTGTGTGTGTGTGTGTGTGTGTGTGCGCGCGCGCGCTAGTGTTCTTAACCACTGAGCAATCTCTCTAACCCCAAGAAACAAAACAAATTTTTTTTGGTCTTTTTTGAGACAGGGTCTCCCTGTAGCCCCAGCTGGCCTGGAACTCACTGCGTAGACCAGGCAGGCCTTGAACTTACAGAGATCCGCCTGCCTCTGCCTCCCAAGTGCTGGAACTGCAGGCGTGCGCCACCACGCCCGGCTATTACTTTTATTTTATGTGTATGAGTGTATTGCCTGCAATACAGGTAAGTGCACCTGTGTCATGCAATGCCCATAGCGGTCAGAAGAGGGCATTAGATCCCCTAGAGCTGAGGTAGTGGCCATGTGGGTACTGGGAATCAAACCTGGGTCCTCTGCAAGAGCAGCCAGAGCTCTTAACCGCTAAGCTATCTATCCAGCCGCACTTTAATCCATTCTTGAGGGCAGAGCCCTCCTGACCTAATCACCTCTTAAAGGTCCTTCTTTTTGTTTGTATTTTGAGGTAGAGTCTCATGTAGCCCAGGCTGGCCTTGATTTAGCTATGTAGCTGAGGATGACCTTGAACTCCTGATCCTCCTGCTTCTTCCTTCGAGCTACTGGGATTACAGGCATGTGCTACAATGTCCAGTATTTAAAGATCCTACTTCTTAATACTGTTGCCATGAAAACTTAATTTCAACTTGAGTTGGAGAAAGGACAACTGATATTCAAATCATAGAACAGTGTCACTTAGCCTCCTGTGCTTCCATTTCCTCATCTATAAAGCTGGAATTCTATCTAGACCTCACAAGGCAATGGTGAGTTATTGTTCATAAACATAGAATTGCTCCCTCTTTTTTCCCTAAGTTGCCATTATCTGGGGACTCTCTTCCTGCCCTGATCTAGCAGATCTCCCTGTAATCCAGCCCTCTTCAGTCCTTCCTACATACCCAAGCTAGAGTGATATTTGCACACACCTTTAATCCCAGCACTCAGGAGGCAGAGGCAGGCAGATCTCTGTGAGTTCAAGGACAGCCTGGTCTACATAGTGAGCTCTAGGACAGCTGGGGCTACAGAGAGACCCTGTCTCAAAAAGACCAAAAGAGAGAGAGAGAGAGAGAGAGAGAGAGAGAGAGAATCAAAACTCTGCTTCTGGGGCTGAAGAAATAGCTCAGAGGCTAAGAGAACACACTGTTCTTGCACAAGACCAAGTTTAGTTCCCAGCACCCACGTCAGACAACTCACAATGGCCTGTACTCCAGCCCCAGGGGATCTGACACCTTCTTCTGGCCTCCATAGGCATCTTCACACACGTGTGCATACCTATGTACAGACACATGCATGTACATAATTAAAAATAAAATAAAATCTTTTTTTAAAACCCTGTACTTCCTGAAGGGAGTCGGTCCTTCCTCCTCCTCCTCCTCCTCCTCCCCCTCCTCCTCCTCCCCCTCTTTCTCCTCCCCTTCCTCCTTCTGTTCTTTTACCTTCCTTCTTCTTTCTCAACTTGAAGGAGCACACAGAAAATCAAGTTCTCCTTGGCTTGCCAGCCAACTTCAAAGAGTTTTGCCTGATTGAACTGTTTTCCTGTGAGGTAAGAACTCTCTCTCTCTCTCTCTCTCTCTCTCTCTCTCTCCCCCCCCCCCCGCTTCTCCCTCCCTCTCTCTTTCTCTTCTCTTTCTCCAGGGCCTCACTGTATACCTCTGCCTTGTCTGGAACTCACCTCAAACTCACAGAGATTCACAAGCCTCTGCCTCCCAAATGCTGGGATTAAAGGCATAGACCACCATGCCCAGCTTAACTTCTTTCCCCTAATACAGAAACTGAAGCACAGGAAAGTGAATTATCTTGCACAAGATTTTACAGCTGATAAATCTGAGAGTTGGCATGGCCTCAGAGTATTGATATGGCTAGTGAGGTTGAGTGTTATGAAGATCTTTAAAATAATATTTGTTTTTATTTTATGTGTATGAGTGTTTTTGCCTGTAGGTATATAGGTGCACCTGTGATGCAGTGTCCAAGGAGGCCTGAAGAGGGCGCAAATCCCTTGGAACTGGAGTTCTGGACAATTGTTAGCCACTATGTAGGTCCTGGGAACTGAACCTGGCTACTCTGCAAGAGCAGCCAGTGCTCTTAACTGTCAGTCATCTCTCCAGTCCTATGTTATGAAGATGTTGATGGACTTCACATGCAGGATCAATCACATTTAATTCCAACAAGAATTCCTAATAGAATTAGATAGGCCTCACAGATTACAGTGTGGTTTCACAGTTCTTCCATTTTATTAGATAAGGCAGCATGGACTGTGGTTAAGAGCATCTGGTCCAGAATCTGTCAGCTTCACCGTTTGCTTCCTGTCCTGCTTTTTCACAGAGTAAATGTTTTGGACTTTCCTCCCATGCCCCAACTTTCCTATTTGTATATATAAGGAGTAGAAAATATTTACCACATGCTGTTGTGAATATCAAATGAGATAATAATGTCATTTGGGGGCATGTGTGTGTGTGGTATGCATGTATGAATGTATATGTGTGCACATGTGTGTACATATGTGTGGAGGCCCAAGTTGATGTCAGGTGTCTTCCTCAATAGCTCTCCACTCTATAAGAACTCTCGCTGAGCCCATAGCTCACCAATTCCAAGTGGTCTACCTAGCCAGCTGGCCCCAGAATGCTCTGTCTCTGCCTCTGCCTCTGAAGTACTGAGATTACAGAAGGCCACCACACCTGCCTAGTTTTTATGTGTGTTCTGGGGATCCAAACTCCAACTCTCATATTTGCATGACAAGTGCTGTTATCCATTCAGCCATCTCTATAACAATGCCTTAAAAAGCTTATCACAGGGGCTGGAGAGATGACTCAAGGGTTGAGCACTGGCTGCTCTCACAGTGGACCCGGGTTTGATTCCCAGCATCCAAATAGCCACTAATAACCATCCATAACTCCAGTTCCAGGGGAATTCAGTGCCCTCTGACCTCTGCAGGCATTTCACGACACGGGTACACTTACACACATGCAAGCAATTCACTCGTACACTAAAAATAAAAATAATAAATAAAATATTTTTTAAATAGTTTATCACAGAGCCAAGTCTATATTCCAGCTTAGGAGGCTGAGGCAGGAGGTTTGTAAGTTTAAGGTCAGGTTAGGCTACAGAGTAAGTTCAAGGCCAGCCTGAATAGTTTAGTGAGACATTGTCTCAAAAGAGAATGTCTTGCTTAGCATGTACAAAGCTCTAGATTCAATACCCCCTCCCCAAGCAAGTACTCAGAAAAAAAACTTTTTAAATGATACAAGATGCTGGGCTATTTATTGGCTACAGGTGATATAGCCAATGTTCTGAGCCCTTTAATACAACAGCTCTAGGAAGATTTGTTTCCACTGAGAGTATGCACAGTGCCCATGGTACAGGGAACAGAACAGATAATAAGAAACCGGATCAAGTCCACAGCCTAAAGGAGGGGTCAGTGTCTTTCCAGTCTCTAAATTTGTAATCATATTACCTTTCAACTCCTGATGAGGAAACAGACTCGAGACTCCCAACACCTGGCTCCAATTCAAACACTAAGATTATCTCTGTATCCAGCAGGTGGCATCGCAGAGCCCAGCAAACGAGCCGGAACTACCATACCCACAATGCTGCGCGAAGAGTCAAGGCCCCGCATTCCTCTTTAACTGTCCAAGGCAGTGCCTGTGCGCGCTCCTCGTTGGCTTCGCTTGCCGGTAGCCTACCGTGAGGACCCTTGACCTCGGACCCAAGATGGCGGCGCCTAGAGCGTTGGTCTTGTTGCTGCTCTGAGGTGAAGGAAGACGGAAAGTCCTGGAACATGTCGAAGCTGAGCCGGGTCACTCGGTCCCTCAGGAAGCCCGAGACCGGAGGCGTGATCAGGACCATCGTGCGGGCGGGCCAGGCCATGCCTGGGCCCCCACTCGGCCCCATTCTGGGTCAGGTGCGGTGCTGGGGACCTGGTTGCCTCGAGTCCTGGGCCCGGGAAGTCTCGGTTCTAAGCTCGCCCCTGCCACTCACACTCGCAGGCTTTCTCTCATTGCCTCCTTTTAACAAATATTTATCATTTTAATTTTATACGTATGAGTGTATTGCCTGCATGTACGTAAGTGCACCCATGTCAATATTTTATTATTTTTATTTTATGTATATGAGTATATTGCCTGCATGTGTGTAAGTGCACCCATGTCGTGCAATGTCTGCAGAGGTCAGAAGATGATGTAGGATCCCCTGGAACTGGAGTTACTGACGATTGCTAGTCGCCATTTGGGTGCTGGGAAGCAAACCTGGGTCCTCCGCAAGAGCAACCACTGCTCCTAACTGCTGAGCCACCACTCCAGCCCCTGTCCTCGCCTCCTTTGACCTCAACTTTAACCCTTCCCCAAAAGGCTAGGTGAAGATGAAGTGGCATGGTGTGCACAATCGTCCGGCTGCCATAGTTGAGTGTGGATAGATGGTGGGGACACAGGGAAGAGAAGATGGAGAGAAGGGACAGGGCCTGGGGATGCAAAGCATTCACCTCCCACACTAACTCTGCTTTCCTCACAGCGAGGTGTCTCTATCAACCAATTCTGTAAGGAGTTCAACGAAAAGACAAAAGACATCAAAGAAGGCATTCCCCTGCCTACAAAGATTTTTGTCAAGGTGCAGTCTCATACCCCTGTAGTCGTCCTTGGCGCTTGGGCTGGTCACCTGCAGTTGCCCCTTACCTGGTTGCTGGGTTCTACTTGCCCCATTTACATAGTGAAGCCAAGACCATAGTTTCTGGGAACCTGCTTGAGTCTGCCCTATTGTTCTTTTGTCCTTCTGTCTCACTGGGGCCTCTAGAGCAGAGTTGGACACATGCCTTTAGTCTCATCACTTGGGAGGCAGGAGGATCTCTGTGAGTTCAAGACCAGCCTGGTCTACATAGTGAGGTCCAGGGCAGCTGGAGATACAGGGAGACCCTGTATCAGAAAGACCCCCCCCCCCCCCCCCCGAAAAAAAAAAAAAAACAAAAAACCCCAAGAAACTCTCTTATGTCTGTTTTTTTCTGAAGCCTGACAGGACGTTTGAGCTCAAGATTGGACAACCCACAGTTTCCTATTTCTTGAAGGCAGCTGCTGGGATTGAGAAGGGGGCCCGGGAAACAGGTAAGGGTTGGTGCAGGCACCTGAGATTCTGGGGTTTCTAGAAAGGAGTCACACCTGAGGAATGACTTGTTCCTTCCAGGGAAAGAAGTGGCGGGCCTGGTGACCCTGAAGCACATATATGAGATTGCCTGTGTCAAAGCTAAGGATGAGGCTTTCGTCATGCAAGATGTACCCCTGTCCTCTGTTGTCCGGTCCATCATTGGCTCTGCCCGTTCCCTGGGCATTCGTGTGGTGAAGGAGTGAGTGTCCTGGGAGGGGCAGTGTGAAGAGGAGGCTGAGATTTGGGAGCAAAGTTGAGGCCTATTCTAGTGAAAGAGTTATGTTTTTAAAAACCATTTTAAGGCTGGGTGTGGTGGTGCACACCTGTAGTCCCTGCACTTGGGAGGCAGAGGCAGGCAGATCTCTGTGAGTTCAAGGCCAGCCTGGTCTACATAGTGAGTTGCAGGACAGCTGGGGCTACAGGGAGACCCCGTTTCAAAAAGACCCCCCCCCAAAAACCCTATTTTATAGCATATATCAATTACACACAATAATGGGTTTCATTGTGACATTTTCATACATGGAAGAGTCAGTTTGGAGATCAAAGGACCTTAAATTCTAGGGGAGGGATATGGATTGAAGCCTCATTGGTTCATTTGGAATGTACTTGGAAACATCTGGTATGTAGTGGACATTATTCTGTATGTTGGATAGACCAGGAATGAGCAGTGGTCCTTGGCCCACTCTGGAGAAATTTGTACCTAAGATGTAAAAGCAGATAGTAAAATGGACTGCCAGGTGGTTGGTATTGATAAGAGCACAGTGGAGGGGCTGGAGAGATGGCTCAGCAGTTAAGAACATTGACTGTTCTTGCAGAAGACCCGGGTTCAAATCCCAGCACCCATATGGCAGCTAACAACTGTCCATAACTCCAGTTCCATGGGATCCGACAGCCTTTTCTGTCCTCTGTAGGCAATGCACGACACAAGTGCACTTACCTACATGCAGGCAATATACACACATAATAAAATTTTTAACAAAAGTATTTTTAAAAAAATAGAACAGTGGATGTCATGAGGGAAGAGGGGAGGGTTCCTAATTTTTACCTGGTGTGTCAGTGATGGGTCTTTGGGGGAGAGGACATCTAAACAGAGCCATGGAAGGAGGGTAAGGGGGCAAATGTTTCCAAAAGTGGAGAGATTCCAGTGAAGGATGGAAGGTAGGAGAGCAAAGCTGAGTTCATTGTGATTGTTGGAGTCTTGTCTAGAAGCAGAGTGGGAATATGGCCCGGAGGAGGGACCAGTCAGGGAGGATCTTCTGAGCTGTCCCACATTCAGACTTGATCCTGAGGCCAGAAGGTAGCCTCTTCAGGTGGCTTTGGATGATCTCAGGAATGGTTTCCATAAAGTAATTTGTCAGGTGGGAGAAAGTTTGGCCCAGATCACAGAAGGAAAAGGGACAGGGACAGTTGTCACTGGCCTCTTGCTGCTTGTGTCATACCCCACACTGTGACTGGTAATTGGTTGTTTCCCAAAAGGAGTTGGGTTGGAACTTAGATGGGCTTGACTTTTTCAGACACTTCCTTGTGGGGAGCACAGAGATGAGTGGACTGGAGCTCCTCTGGGGATAGCCACACCCAGCCCATGACGTCAGTATACAGTGTCTGTGGCACAAAGGAAGTGAGTCCCAGTAGGAACAGTGGAGGCCTCAGGATGGGTAGGACTTTAGGAAGAGGATAAAGGGCAGAGCATGTGGGGTGTGTTGGGCAGAGGAACCAGATGAGCAAAGGTATGAAGGCAGGAAAGGCCACGAAAGGAAAGGGACCAGGGAGGCTGGGGCTGTGCCAGTGACACCATCCCTTTGTGAGGTCTCATTAACCATCTTTCTTCCCTGGCAGCCTCAGTGCAGAAGAGCTGGCAGCCTTCCAGAAGGAACGAGCGGTGTTTCTGGCTGCTCAGAAAGAGGCAGATTTGGCAGCACAGGCAGAAGCTGCCAAGAAGTGACCCCTGCCTTCCACACGATGGGATTTTTAAGGAAGAGGCTGAGAAGGGACCAGTTGAGAAAGCTGTGCCGAAGGGGAGGAAGGGACATTATGCCAACGTGATTAATATTGTCCTGACTGTATATTTTTACACATGTCAATATCAACGGATCAAATAAACATCCTCCGTTGTCCACTCTCAGCTTGTCTTGGGGACCAGTACTGATGGCATCCAACCTGCCTAGGAGATGAACCTCTGTGCTACTTCTCGTGTGTGTACCCAGGCTTAGCCAAGCAAGTAGCTTGCCCAGGGCTTTAGTCTATCTTGTGGTGTTATAACAAAATAACTGAGGCTGGGTACTTAATAAGGAAATGTATTTGGCTCCTAAGTCTGTGACTATAAAGTCCAAGCAGCGTGGTGCTAGTGTCTGACAATAATCCATTTGGCTGAATCACAACATGACGAAGTGGAAACAGTAGCATGCAAAGAACCAAGTGTGAGAGGTGGCCATCCTTAAGACCAGCATTAGTGAGGGTGGTGCCCCCAGCACCTGACAACCTTTCACCTCTTAAGTTCAGAAACACTGGGAACCAGGCCTCCAGTGTACTTTGGGAAACAAGCCATAGCTCTCAGGTTCCGAGCTGGGGCAAAAGTTGGAGCAGAAGCTAGGATTCTGATAGAAATCCTGCGATCAGGGCTGAGGATTAAGCTCCCTGGGAGCTCTGGGCCATCCTCTGAGGCCGAGTTCCATTCCCAGCACAAAAGAGAGATTGGTTTTCTTTCCCTCCTCAAGGGTAGAGCTCTTAGATGCTGAGGCTTGGGTGTGTTGCTTGTCTTCCATTAGGACTGAATCTGTTCCACCTCAAAAGCAGGACCCTGTGGGAGATTTCGGATCATAGCCCCAGGTCATGTTACTACATACAACACCCTAAATTCCAGGGGTGGCCTCACAGTAGCTGTCCACCCAAGAAGTCCTCAGGAAGCCCTCTACCCCATTTTCTCCGTTATTCAGAGTATTGAGCATTCTCGAGAGGATGAGCAGTAGGGAGTGTGACGGACCAGCCCAGACCGGAGCAGTTCAGTCCGACGGGAACAGGGTCCTCGAGAGAGTGGGCACGGGAACAGGGTCCTTGAGAGAGTGGGCAAGGATTCGGCGAGTGACAAACAGACAGACACAAAGGAGCTTGGTGAAGGTCTGAGTGTATTTTTGCAGCTGTAAGGTTTGAGATATACACAGCAAAGATTGTGAAAGTTCATCATCAGTGTGACTGTTCTGGAATTAGTCTCTTCCTAAGATTTTCAGTAAAAGGGAAACAATTTTGGCAACCATCATGTATAGCCAAAACACATTTCCTTATCTTATCAACCTGGTACCAGCCAGCAAATTCCTGCTTTATGATACTGTGGTTTCTACTACCAGTTTTTATTATGCACTCGGAACTCTGCTTAGTTTTGTGATTTCAGGTCAGGATGACCTTAAACCACCAAGTACTTTCAATATCAACTGTGCCTGATATTACATTTTTAACTATTTGATAACATTCCTTGCTTATTTGTAGTGGGCCATCGGGCTTCTAAGTCATTCCTTAACCCCTTAGATCCTAAAAAGTCATCCCATGTTAGGGACCTATGAAACCATCCTTCCCTCCTATCTTTTCCAACTTTCAAATAGTCTGTAGTTGCCTTTTAATGCTCTCTTGTTGATTTTTTGTCAAAAGACACCAAGGTGGTCTTGATCTTGCCAATTTATCCATGAATTGTAATGAATACCAAGAAACCCTTCTTCTATATTTACCCATCTATGAAATCCGTTATTCCCTGGACTTTCTAGCATTAATTTTGATTAGCTACTTTTGCTGCATCTAAAATGGCTTTCATTAATAGTGATGCATCTGGAGGCAAAGTTGTCCCAGGTGATTGAGTTCCTGAGAACTCTTCCTGCATACTAGGATAATTAAAAGATTTCAATAAAGGCAGTGACAGTGGTGTCAAGGACACCAGGTGCTTTCTGGGCCCCTGAAAGCCCATGATACAGTGACAGTCAGAAAAGATAATAGCAAGTAAAAGCATGCCAAGTACACTGCGTGTTTTTTAGCACAGCCAACTCCAAGAGGCAACCTTCCTTGAAGTTCCAGCCTCAACCCACGGAGGATCTCACATGGGCTTCATTGGAGATGGCGTGACAAGGGAGGGATGAGGTTTGCATTCACTGGGTGTTGTGCTGGATGCTATTCCACACTGACAAAATTTGGACAGTGTAGAAAAGCACTTATGAGAGAATATAACCCGCCTGCATAGAGGGCTCCGTCTGTAGAGGCCTTACTATGTAAGCATGAGGATCTGAGCTGATTCCCCTAAGACCCACCTGAAAAAAGCTGAGCATTTGTAATGCCTATGCTGTGTACAACACCAACCCTGGTGAGGCAGAGACGGGAGCCCTGGGGCCTGCTGGCCAGCCACACAACACCAGCCTTGGGGAGGCAGAGAGGGGACCCCTGGGGCCTGCTGGCCAGCCACACAACACCAGCCTTGGGGAGGCAGAGAGGGGACCCCTGGGGCCTGCTGGCCAGCCACACAACACCAGCCTTGGGGAGGCAGAGAGGGGACCCCTGGGGCCTGCTGGCCAGCCACACAACACCAGCCCTGGGGAGGCAGAGACGGGGCCCTAGGGGCCTGCTGGCCAGTCACACAACTCCAGCACTGGGGAGGCAGAGAGGGGACCCCTGGGGGCCTGTTAGCCAGCCACACTGGCAACTGAGTCTCCAGCAGTTGATTTTTGGGTTTCGTGAGTGACCCCGACTCAATGAGGTGAGAATGGGACTGGAGAGATGGCTCCATGGTTAAGAGCACTTGCTGCACCCTCATGAGGACGAGTTCACTAAGACCCCAGCACCCATACATTAAACTGGGGGTCTGGTGCATGCCTGTAACTCCAGCTCCAAGGGTAGGCATGGAGAAAACGAGCTTGCCTGTTTCCAGTCTAACCAAGAAAATGTGAGCCCCAGGTTTAGGGAGAGAAGGCCTCAAAGGAATAACTGGAGAGTGACGGGGACAGCTGACGCCCTCTTCTGGCCTCCATGTGCACACAGGCATGTGCACCAGTGCACACAATAATAATAATACAAATAATATGGAGAAAGATTAAGAAAGATACCTGATGTCAGCCTCTGGCCTTCACCTGCACACACGTGCACACATGCATGCACACACACACATACACAGAGGAAAAAAAAATAGAACTGGGTATGGTGTTGCACACCTGTAATCCCAGTACCTGGGAGGTAGAGGCAGGAGGATCAGAAGGTCAAGGTTGGAGTAGAAAGATGCCTCAATGGCTAAGAGCACGTACTGCTTTTGCAGAGAACCCAAGTTCAGTTCCCTTCACCCACATCAGGTGGTTCACAACTGCCTGTAACTTCAGAGGTGCCTCTGGTCTCCAAAAGCATGTGTACATACCCACACACAGACACAAGTACATTTAAAAATAATGTTGGATGTGGTGGCACATGCCTTTAATCCCAGCACTTGGGAGGAAGAAGCAGGCAGATCTCTGTGAGATCAGGGAAAACCTGGTCTACATAGCAAGTTCCAGGCCAGCTGGGTCTACAAGGAGACACTATCTCAAAAACAAAAAGCTGGGTGGGGTGGTGGCGCACGCCTTTAATCCCAGCACTTGGGAGGAAGAAGCAGGCAGATCTCTGTGAGATCAGGGAAAACCTGGTCTACATAGCAAGTTCCAGGCCAGCTGGGTCTACAAGGAGACACTATCTCAAAAACAAAAAGCTGGGTGTGGTGGTGGCGCACGCCTTTAATCCCAGCACTTGGGAGGCAGAGGCAGGCAGATCTCTGTGAGTTCAAGGCCAGCCTGGTCTACATAGTGAGTTCCAGGACAGCTAGGGCTACAAGGAGACCCTGTCTCAAAAAGACCAAAAAAAACCCAAAAAAAAACAAAAAAAAAGCAAAAAAATATATATGAAAAGAAAGGTAAAATGTGTAATCTCCATCCAGATTAGACTCCTTAGAGTTTGGTGTAATCTCTCTCTGTCTCTGTCTCTGTCTCTGTCTCTGTCTCTCTCCCTCCCTCCCTCCCTCCCTTCCTCCCTCCCTCCTTTCTTTCCTCCCTCCCTCCTTCCCTCCTTCCCTCCCCTCTCTCTCATTGTGAGTTTGGGGCATTCCTGTGCATGTGTGAGAGCAGGGGTCAGAGGACAACCTCAGGTTGTCCCTCACCTTCTACCTCGTTTGAGACAGGCTCTCTTTGCTGGTCTTAGCAGTGTAGACCAGTCTAGAACTACCAGGGATTCTCCTGTCTCTACCTCCTGTCTTGCCATAGGAGCCCTGGGGTTACAGACATGTGCCTCAGTGCACGGCTTTACCTGGGTTCTGGTCCTCTTACTTGTGAAGCAATCACTTAACCCACTGCACCATCTCTCCAGATGCCTTCTCAGCTCTTTTTGTGTGCATATTATATATTATATTCTAAAAATGGAAATTGGGAGTGGGGGTGTATGGGGTGTAGCTCAGTGATAAAGATCTGTCTTTTCCTTTTTTTGTTTTTTTTTTTTTAAATATTTAGCCGGGCATGGTGGCACATGCCTTTAGTCTCAGCACTCAAGAGACAGAGGCAGGCGAATCTCTGTGAGATCGAGGCCAACCTGGTCTCCATAGTGAGTTCCAGGCCAGCTGGGGCTGCAGGGAGACCCTGTATCAAAAAGACAAAAAAAAATTGTTTTTTAAATTTTATGTGTACGAGTGTTTTGCCTGCTTGTGTGTAAGTACACCATAGGTGTGCAATGCCCATAGAGGCCAGAAGGTATTGGATCCCCTGGAACTGGAGTTATGGATAGTTATTAGCTGCCATGTGGGTGCTGGGATTTGAACCTGGGTCCTCTGTAAGAGTAGTCAGTGCTCTTAACTGCTGAGCCATCTCTCTAGCTCCCTCCTTTTAAAAAATGTTTTGTTTTTTTGTTTTGTTTTGTTTTGTTTTATGTTTTGTTTTGCTTTTTGAGACAGGGTCTCCCTGTAGACCCAGCTGGTCTGGAACTCACTATGTAGATCAGCTCACAGAGATCCCCCTGCCTCTGCCTCTCAAGTGCTGGGATTAAAGTTGTGAGCCAACCTTCTACTTTTAACTTATCAATTATTTAGATAATTTTCACTGTCTTCTTTCTATAACAATTTG